ATTTGTCACTTGACAAGTCGTTTCGTCTCTTCGAGGTTTTGTTTCGTTGTTTCGTTTCGCCTATTTGACTGCGCTAGCCTGGGAACGAGAAAGGGTATAATTCGCCCTTGAATTACATGAGGTAGTTAACTCTCTGGGTATTATGGCGAACTTGTCAAGGGCTGAACAATTGAAAACCTTCCTCCGCCAGAGTGTACAATGCATTTTCAACCGCGTAAATGAACTGTTTGATGATAGTGAGAGTAAAGTGAGCTATCTCATTACACATTTTGACAGAGTGATATATATTGTTTCACGAGCTTTTTCGTCCTTTTTTTTTTGTTCCCACAGAGCTGGTAGGCTTCCAGTAAATTTGTAGCTGTTGAGAGCTCGTCAACCGGTTCTGAAGTACACAGGATGCCATTTTCGTCGACACAATAAATTGCTGTCATGAGCAATTTTCACTGGAGTGAAATAATGCTCAAGATATAGAGCTCTAGCATTTCCTTTGGAATGTCTATTACCAGGACCGTGGTCTCGACATCCTGAAACCTCGAACAATCGTTTTTGCAATGATCTTTCATCTACACTGACGGCAACAATTAATTGACAAGGTCTCATGAGAAACTCTCCAACTCGGTGGGAACGTAAAATAACGAAAAGCTTAAAGAAAATATATCACTCCGTCAAAATGTGTAATGAGATAGCTCACTGTACTCTCACTCTCACTCTCATCAACCTGTTCGTTTACGCGGCTGAAAATGAACTGTATACTCTGGTGAAGGTTCCTTTGACAAGTTCGCCACATTGCCGAGAAAGTCAACTTCTTCATATAATTCTGTAATTTATGTGCGAATTACAAACGACGAAACAACGAGATGAGTGACAAATCGAAACTGACATACACATGCCCCTGCATTGAGGCGAGGAGACGACAGGACGAAGCAACGAAGTGACACGAGAAATCGGCGAAATTAAGAAAATTGGTGGGAGAGGCGACGGAACGAAGTAACGAAGTGACACAAAGAAAAGATAACACAAAACGAAGATTCGAATATTTTTTCCGGCCACGATTTGACTTCTTAGTGACCAGTCATTCACATGTATAACAACGCCCACATATCTTCATGGCAACGTTTAAATTTGTTCAAATGGCCTTCCCTTTGACATCATATCCCACGATAAGTCTTGCATACTTGTCTCCAAGGAAACCAAACTTTACCTACTAACACGTGCATACAGTACTTTTCCCAAAAGTGCAAAAAGCCAGAGAGAAAGACTACTATTGAAACTCGATGGATTCAGTATTCTTGAAATGGGAGGACTAAAAGCTCATCGCAATAGCCACTATCATAAGCTATACATTCCCTCATATAGTCTCAGGAAAATCACACTTCTTTCTTTTCTCTTGTTTTTGGGTAAGAAAAACACGGCACTCTTCAATTTTGGTTGGCTAGCCTCATGTTGTGTCAATGATGTGCCGTTAATGGATTGCATCATTTGAAAATCACACGGAATCTGCAAAGCAACTCGATCCATTTCCCAAAAAAACTTTACTTTTCAAATGCAAACAATACCCAGAACGTTGCAGCTAATAACGAACCAGGGTTGGGTTACAAAAAACCTCTTAAGATTAAGGGAACTCGTAACTATTATTTCAAAACAATATAGGTTATTGCTCCAGAACAAAAGTTTTAAAAAGCCCTCTTATATATTTTAAGAAGGTTTTATGCAACCTGGCCCAGAACTTTTGAATCGCGGCATTTTATATCAACACCGACGTTTTTTTTAATTCACTTATTTTTTTGTAGTGTTTGCCTGTTTTGTCTCGGCCTGAATATGATCATATTTAAGATTTCTTAAAATTACTAGATAGTTTATTTGTATAAAACTAACATGTTATCTTTTTCAATTCTAAATTTACAACATCCATAAGATAGGAAACATCACTATGCGAATAGAAGAAACTATTGTCATCAGCAAATAATATCTGCAGCTGTAAGACCTTTGACACATTACATACATCACTAATGTGTACTAAGAATAACAGGGGGACCTAGGATGGAGCCCTGAAGAACTCCGCAAGTAATATATAATGATGAAGAGTTGTAACCATTATACTGCACAAATTGTTTTCGACAAGAAAAAAAAAACTTTTAAGCCATTGCAAACTAATATACCACGTACTCCAAAATGTTCTAGTTTGTCAAGCAAAATTTTATGATTTTCCGAACTGGCGAATCTCGGGCTTTAGATAGGTCAATGAATAGGCCTAAAGTTACCTTTTTATTATCAACTGCGTTTGAGATCTTGTTGAGTATGTTTAAGTATCCAGAACAAACTGGCACGAGATGTACTCAAGTCACTCAAGAAACATAGAGTCCCACAAAATAATAATGGATTTATCGAGCGTCAAAGGCGCTTTTAAACGCGCGATAAAGACTACCTTTACACATCTTTGACGCGCGACAAATTTCAGTCTTTAACGACGGCCTCAGGCGGGTCTTCAGGTGATAAATACCGTTGTCACGCTTTAACCAAGGTGTATCTGATTAGCATTTGTGCCCCTAGGAAATGGTAGACTCGGTTGTCCCAAATGAAATAAACAAATAAGCCTCGTAAATACGTGCAGACGTATTGTGTCGCAGATCTTTCGGTTCTTTTATTTAGGGGTATATAACCTGTACTTCACTAAACTCATATCAGGGGTCAATCTTTATCGTAACGCAAAAGGGAAAAGAACGCTCGTGGAACTTAAAGTCTGATATATTTGATCTTTGAATATTATGTCACGATCACGCAACCCACCGTCTCAAAAAGAAAGACTTCTCACGCGGTTTCATATACAGTAGAATCCCAGCAACTCGAACTCAGAAGGGAAACAAAACAGCTAGAGTTACAGCTGGACTGACTATCCGGCTAGCGAGGATTCGAGTTATCGGGGTTGATAGCAAAATTCAATTTGCCATGACATGTTAAAATTGATACTTACTGATTATTCATCACTTCATGATCAGTGTATAGTCCAGTACAAATCTAACTTATTTCATCAGAAACGTTAATAAAATGAAATCTTAACCATTCAGCTGTATTAGTGATAAAACCTGATTTGGTCGGTAAAAACAGCCTATGAAGTTAATCGCCCAACCATCTTTTGCATGAAAATTATAGCAGAAGGGAGCGTAATCTTCCAAAACATCTTTTCTTCATTGGCCGGCTTTTGTGATGTAGTATCGGTAATGCCATGCAGCCCGACTAATAAAGGCAAGTAGAAGGATCTTTGTAGCTGAGCGAAAAAGGCCAATCGAGAGTGAAACCTAGCTTCTTGGCTTTTTGATTGTCATCGTAGTCGAGCCCGCAACCTTAAAAAAGTAGCAGCTTTTGCAAATTGATTGGCGCCAAGAAAGGGTGCACTTTTCATATATTACATTTCGCATAATTATGTCATTCCGCAAGCCATGCCGCATGTCATTCCGTAAACTCATTCCTCCTTTTACCCTCACCGGTCTCAGATTCAAGTCAAAGGTTTGACAAAGGTGAGTTTGTTCTAGTGCACTTCGAAAGTTGTCGAAAAAAAGGAAGAAGCTAGCGCACCAACGCAGGATATTATAAAGGCCATACTGTGTATTTTGTCTCTTTTTCTTGTTTTTTATTTTTACTGTCTCTGCCTTTATCAATTCATCACACACGTTTAACCATTTATTATTCCACCTGCTATTAAGAGTGGTATGATTGTCAACCGTCTCCCGGTTTCATGTCAAAAATTCCGGTTTTTAGAAGTGAATCACTTCAAAAGAGGAGGATGATTCCCACTGTAAATATCCCTTTGTATAAACTTCTTCTCTTTAGCTAAATTACGAATTAGGTATTCGTAAGTTACGTAACATTCCCTAAATACTGGTTATTAAACGGTATAATATACACCACCTTTCCTCCCACGCCGTAAGCGGGCATCGATTAAAGGTCTTTGTTGATTTAGTATGTGGAAGGAAGACGCAGCTTGTACTCGTAATGTTCTCATTTTGCTTCTGGCCATTGTTATTATTATTATTATTATTATTATTGTTGCTAATATTACTATTACTATTAATATAATAATATAATATATTATTATTATTATTACTATTATTATTATTATTATTATTATTATTATTATTTCAAATTAAACAAACGTACCCTAAACTATCAATTTTAAATCCTTTGAGAAAAAGGTCTGATTGATGAGAATGAGATATTTTATAATTCATAAAAACGGTCGGTGTTGGTGTAAAATGCCGCAATGCAAAATTTCTGGTTCGTTTTTCGCTGCAACGTTCTAGCCATTGTTTGCTATTAAAAAGTAAAGTTTTTTTCGAAATGAAGTTGCATTGCAGATTCCGTTTGATGATGCAAGCTATGCCCCCCTCTCCTCCAAAAAAAAAGAACAAGAACAAGAACAAGAACAAAGAGAAGAAAAAAGAAATGCGATTTTCTTTAGACGATATGAGGGAATGTAAGGCTTTGTGTGCTGAATACTTCTTTCTTCTATGACATTGGTCATTGGGATGAGCCGTCAGTACACTCATTTCATCATTTCAGAACTGAATGCATCGAGTGTTAGTAGTATTATTACTCTTTGGTATGTCTTTATGTTCAACGAATGTCCTTTTTTCACCCAATTCTTTACACCCGTTCCGAAAATATCCTTTTTCCCAAACAAACAGTTCATCCTCAATTTTTTTTTCTAGAATTGGGAAAGCTACTATATGCACGTGTTAGTAAGTTTGGTTTCCTTGGAGACACGTGTGCAAGACTTATCGTAGGATGTGATGTCAAAGGGAAGGCCATTTGGACAAATTTAATCGTCGCCGTAAGTATATGTGGGCGCTGTTATTTTCTGAATTTTTAGGGAAATCAGAGCATGCAAAGGAGAAAAATAACAACGTTGCGTAATGAACTTATTTGAAAACGTATTTCTTTTTAAGGGCCTTTTATAACAAAGTTTATTGACGTTGGTTCTCGATCTGCTAGCCGCGTTTAAGATGGATGCTTTGGAGAACTGGAGTATAATCGTCGTGACGATTGAAATAGTCATAAGTCTCCTAGGAATCTTCTTCAATGGTTTGGTAATTTTGACAATTTGCCTGAATATTTATCGTCTCTCAGCACCCAGCTACCTCATACTCAGCATTGCCGTGAGTGACTTTCTCTCTTGTTCTTTGGCCATTCCATTTTCTATTGCAAGGCACTTTAAGAACAAATGGCCCTTTGGAATGGCTGGCTGTCAAGCTCATGCGGTTATGATCTTTCTACTCGCTTTGGTGTCATTAACTCATCTGGCTGCCATCTCAGCTGGGAAGTATCTGACAGTAACCAAGTCCCTTTCAAAACAGTCCTATTTTGATACTAGAATGGTAAGAAACGTGATAGTTTCGTCCTGGATTTTTTCCATCGGTCTCAGCACAATACCGTTGATAATGTGGTCGAAGATCAATGGCTTGGATGGCAGTCATAAAGCATGCCTCTCGGATAAACAGCAACCATTTGTTCCTAGCGATAAGGTATACTTTGGAGCTGTTTATTTCTTTTGTTACGTTATAGCCTTGGCCGTGATCACTTTTTGCTATAACAAAATCCACAAAGTTACCAAAAACATTGTTCAGAACACACGCCACATAGGCGGTTTGCCTGCCATGGAAATGAGACGAGCTCTTCTCAACAAGCATCGTCGTTCTGCTATGTATTTTTTAAGCGTTATAGCTGCTTTCATGCTGTCGTGGTCTCCTTATGCTGTCGTGTCCTTTCTTACACTCCTATCAATAGGGCTGAACCCCATTGCTACAAGCGCCTGTAGTGTGTTCGCTCAAACATCATTTTTTCTCAACCCAATCTTGTATGCTATAGTCTCTCGCCGATTTCGAAGACGCATGGTCATAGCTGTTCCAGCGATGAAAAGACAACATAGAAGGATCAGACCAGCTGGCTGTAATTTCGAGTGTCGGGCCACTAGCCCTTTAAAACACATTTTTTGTCTAGCAAGTTTGTTTTAAGATGAGCCGAAAAAGCGTATATCTATTTAGATGGCATTAGCGGAATTGAGTTATTCACTACCTCGAGGAAAACTAACGACCAAAAAGGCACATATTTCCAAGCGGAGATTCTAAGAGTCGGCCTAAACAGGTCCCCAGTTGATAAGTTGATATTTTGGAAAAAAGGAACTAGGCTTAAACATTCAAGTCTTGTCTGGGTCGTTTAGTTCTGTATATTTTAAGCTTTAATCAGTAAGTTGTATTCTGTACTAAAATAGACGTACCTTACTTAAGCAAGTTTATTAGAAAAACATGTATCAGTATCTCAGTAGTTAATAATATGAAAGCAATATGACCTGCTCGGAATCAGTTTTAAAAACCTATGAAAATGTACCTGTTAGTGAAAACTTTGAAGAATAAATGTTTCTCTGGAAGGAGTAGTGTATCTACAAAATGTTGTCTCTCTGCTTGTTTGACCGCAAAAATTGCCAGTTCTCTCTTTTAGCTCGCCAATGAATGGTCTTCGAAAAGAGAAAGACTGGATTTGTTGGCGAATGAAGAAAGTATTATGTTCAAAGCAGAGCGGAATCCTTCCCCCTTTTTTATTCTAACAGCCGATCCTTAAAAATATATGCGTTACCCCAGCCGTTCTCAACCTGCCTGCGGGATAAGAATATGAGTTAAATCCACCTGTCTTTTAACACCGTCAGGCAGGGGAAAGATATGGGAGACTTTACAAAGTCGTTCATTGTAGTGAGAAAATGGTTTTATTTGGATATGTTAATTCTTTACATTAAATTTCCATATCGTTATATACTATAATTTTTCTTTAAACGTAACTTGGTAAGCTTAAATTCAAGCGAGTAGTACCTTTCGCTCTGCGTGTGGATCACTGTATCTCTTCAGAAACGCTTAACTCCCTTACCCCCCACCCCCCTCAATCTTCAAAAGGACGGCCCCTAACCAAAACCCCTCCAAAAGTAACAAATTATGTTGTGTAACATGCTTAAAGGTGTGACATATCTGTAATGTTTTGGAGCCAGATATTTTACAAAATATTTTTAAGGAAAACAAACGTGGAAATAGGAACGTTTGATCTTCGAACGCATTCGTGTTAATCTAGAGAACGATTGAGGATTAATAACAAAATTATTATGTTCTTACCAAGTGCATCGTGCATTTAACTGAACAATTTGTCAAGAATAAACTAAGCCGGGAATGTATGCACAAACAGCGTTGTCATAGTTCTTCCTAGTAACTTTGCACATGCAATCGAAACAGTTTTTCACAAACAAGTTACAGTTTGTAGAAGCCAAGTATATAGAGCCACCCTTTATCAAAGATCGATGAATTTAAAGAGAGGGTCAACGATTGTTTGTTATCTGGCGTTTCTCTATGAACTAACAATTCTAAGGTAGGTAAATGGGCGGATGCAAATTTCTTTTTCAAGAAACTGATAGTCACGAGGATACGCTAATGAATTCAGTGCATAGCCAGCTGTTTGGATGGGCATGAAATAAGTCTGACTAATTCGAAAGTCGATTGCTTACCAAGCACGCAAGTACACATAACAATTGTCTTTGATAAGCCGCCATATGCTCTTAACTTGAAGGTAACCGTTCATGATACTTGCCAAATTTAACGCCATTTGTGCTTCCTGGGAATCTGTTCTCTTTTCATCATGCTATTAAACAGTAGAGCAAATACAGTTAATAATTACTCAGCAGGTCAGTAAGGTTTTTGGGCAAAATGGGGGATTAGAATCCGTAAGAACGCAACTACTGTGTGCAATATTCATACAAAGAAGACAGCGTTTTAATGTTCTTCTTTTAAAGATAATTTACAGAGCGTTTTGTGTAGAATGCAGTTTTTTGGTTTTCGTAATTTTTGTTCGGTATACCTTCTGGGTCTATAAGAGCTGGTTTAAAGAAAAGTCTATCGTGATAGTTAACAATTTTGTTTGTTTTTATTCACCTTCATTTTCTTATTAAGGACATCGGCCTTTTGTGTCCGGAGGGTTCATATAGCCATAACATGTCAAAATGGTGGCTTTCCGACAAGATAAACAGGGCAAGAAATATTTAATAGATAATAGTTGCTTCCTAAGTATTTTTAACAAAGCGGTAAATGTAAATGGGAAAATTAACACCATTAAATGTATTACTGCAAAGCCAGGTTTTTTTTATTATTGGTGACCATTTTGGCCGCCATCTTGAATTCAAAATCAAATTAAAGATAAACCGACAAGGTATAAGTGAATTGAAAAATTAAAAAAAAAAAAGGAAGACGCTCTGATTTTTGATACTCCGAAAGTGAAGGCAGTATCGATAGCTAATGTTACTAACAAACCTTATTATTATAATTATTATTAAACATAAAGGAAATCTAAGTAGAACCGTGGTTTAGGAAATCTTTCGACCTCCAGATCTCTTCTTCAGTGGGTTATTTTAAAAGGTCAAATGCTTTTCTAGTCTACGCCTTATTCTTTTATGAAATTGTTGACGATAAATAGTGTTTACATAAAAGCGTACGGCAAACTGATAATGGCTTAGAACGCGGTTTTAATTGTTAAACACTGCCTAAACTCCGTTTAAATAACTGGCCCAAAGAATCTGTTTTTTAGTAGTTTATAAAGATATAAACAAAGCACATTCTTCCCAATCCTGACCTAGTGCCATAAAAAGTAAAGCCGTATTATTTTTCACATTTCTTGTTATACCTTAAAAAAATGGAACAGGAAAATTAATTAAGTAACACGTTTAATTTATTGTAATTCACTCACCTTGGCAATAATTATAAACTTCTCTCAAACTGTTGTAAGCAGGAAAATATTTCTTTATCGCAGTCCGTCCATAAAGGGGACAATTGCTCATTTTAGCGACACATTAAGATAGTGGCCATAACAACCTTCTGGCGGCAGCAGCACCACTTAGAGTTATCGGCATAGTAAGTGGAGGAGAATGGTTAAGAAAGACGGCAAACATCAAATATAAAACCAACAGTACCGCAGTTTATTATAGTGGGAGCTCAGGCCCTGTAGGTGCACAATACTTTGTTTTTTGATCACAAATTGTGACGGAATCAGTTCATGTCAATTTGAGTTTTTTTATTGGTAAGTAAGAAAAAAATGATAAAAATGGTAACAAAGACATGTAAGAGAGAACTCTTTCGGGCTTCATAGCCATTCATTCTACTACCGTTGCGGAAAGGCAATGCCGACCATTATATGCATTAAACCGCGCGCCACAGAGGTGGAATTTGTTTGTAACCCCCATCTTAGATCAGCTGAATATCCAGGTTCGATCAGATCTATTAAATTCAGTTAAAATAACGCAGTCGAAATAATTTTGTTCTAGGTTTGTTTGGTGTACATGGAAGAAATTTATCTTTAAGTTTCTGTGCATTTTTTCCTACTTATGATCAGGATTGCACGCTGGTATTGTTTTAAAAGTACTTCATATTTGACTGGGTTGTTTGTCACCTTCATAGCACCTCACATTTGACGAAATGACCACTATTTTAGTGAAGTTTAATTTTGTTGATATGGCTTCTTCCTGACATTAAAGGGACAGGTTCACGGTTCAGCGCATGCTCATTTGTCAAAATTGTTTTTCTGCCGCGACATGCTGTATCGTCTATGTAAGCAACATGATCATGTCATAATGATGTCAAAGAACCAATCTGCACACTCCCCTGGCAGTCACTTGAAAATAGCTGTAAATTAATCAACCATGAAATAAAACCTTCGGGTCAACAATAAATTTCAACGTCGGTAGTGTTGGCATAATCCATTAATTGTTTCTGCGATTTTAGTACTCCTCCATCCTACTTCAGGTTACTCTGAAATACACTTCTACTTTGAAATACACTCTGAGATCGCTGAGATACATGTGAGTGGAATTATTAACCGATAGAATTAATAAAAAATGGAAAAAGTAATTTAATTAATGAGCATGCGCTTAACCGTGAACCTGTCCCTTTAACTTGCAATCCTGGACGTATGTCATTTTTTGCCTATTTTTTGCCAAAATCGAAATTTTCTAATCGCATACTGCCCAAAGAACGAACAAAAAGCTTTTGAAGCAACTGTTCAATTTTGATGAAAGGGTAACTTGTGTTTCTTTAACATGTTTGTAATTTGTGTCAGAGCTACATATTAGGCGGACTGTGATTTGACGCTTATGTATAAACTTAACCCTCGGACGTACACGTACACCGTCAAGGGGGGGGGAAGGGGGTTGATGGGCACCCCCTCCCCTCCCTACTTGGTTTTTGATATGTTGCTATATTTCGAAACGATTTTGCCTCAAGTGGAAAGCCTTTGATCTTCTCTACAAGATGAAGTATATTTTATGGGTGGTGGAGCTTCTGGAGGCCTGTGACGTCATCGAACATGGTCGCCATCTTAGCCGCCATCTTGGATTTTATCAAGAATTAAAAATAAGGTAAAAACAGAGAGTATTAATAATTTTATTTCTGCTAAACATGTAAAATAAGACATAAATAATTCATTTTTTTTCAGCATTTTATCCACAGGTTTTACTTTTATTGTTGATAAAAAGGAAAAAACATGCATTTGCACTTAAAAATGGCTTGACCACCCGTTACTTATGACATCATATCTCGTAACCAGAGCAACTGACTTTCACTAATCTTCTCTCAAAATGAGCGCAAAGGATAAACGAACGGCTACAGAAAACGTCCGGTGCTGATGTTTTATCGTCTAGGAAAAAAATAGGAAAAACCTTAGTGGGGGTGGCAACCAGAGCTCCCCTCCCTCCCCCCTTATATATGCAGAAGATTCATTACAAAAAGAATTTTTGAGTTCCTAAGAACACAGTAGATCAATAAATAACAAATAATAATAATAATAATAATAATAACAATAATAATAATAATAATAATAATAACAAAGGAAATAAATAACAGCATGTTTGCAGGAAGCACCTTACAACTAATTCATCTCAGTGAAAAAGGGATCGGTG